TTTCCATTTGATTACATTTTGTATGATGGATTATGTAGAAAAAGTAGAATTGGGCTGAAAGATCTATCACTTTATCACCTATTCAGGTTGTAAATCATGTTTTTAAAAAGTAACTAAGTAATCAATTACTTTTGAAAATAAGTAATCAGTAAAGTAACGGGATTACTTTTTTGGGAAAGTAATCAGTAATTAATTACTGATTACTTTTTTCAAGTAACTTGACCAACACTGGTGGGGATTGACTCACTTTTAGACCCACTCCCAAGGGACCCCTTGAGGAAATGCAGTTTTTGGCACCAGCTCACTTGGCTTAATTTTTCAGCCACAGATGTTTATCAGACAGTATTGCACACGACCACAAAGCTAAATCACCGGAGGACCTTTGAACAACTGTCTGACAGCCAGCAAAGAACATGACAAATGTGGTTCACTGTAAATAGAGAAAAGCTTTTTGTCATGTGATAATAGTTCCTTCAACAAATCACTCACAGTTGGGTTCTTTTGCCTCAAAAGAGGCTAACAACCATAAAAATGCCAGAGAAATATACTGTGGTGAGGCAATCCCACAGTTCACATGAGGTGTAAGAGTGTGTCATTCACTGTCCCCCATAGGCCGGCGATAATCCCGTTGGCGTTTTATGATCGCCTAAGTGCGTCAGACTGTTTCCATTCCAAACGGATCCTCCAGCCACCTTGTTTCTGTACTCTTACTCCACATATCCAGAGCTCTTTGCGTCCTGGAAAGAGGCCTGGGGTCGTTGGCTGTTGACCAGAGGCAGGGGGAGTTTCACTGAGTGTGAGTCTGCTGAATACTCATATTCAGCAGAGGCAGTTGGATAAGATCCTGTCCACATCTATTTGCTGTGATTACAATTTACACTGTGAGGTCTTGACTGTGAAGCTTGGACGGGGTAAACGTCACACACCCTGATCTGGAAGCTATTGAAATAAATGCATTTTTCAATGAAATTATATATACAAGTTTTCTGACATTTAATCATTTATTCATGGAAGCAGCAAGCTAAACTGCCAGAATCGTTTCAAACTACTTGCCTATCACCCAGGCAAGTAGTTTGATACGATTCTGGCTGTTTACCTTGCTGCTCGAAATTGTTTTAAAACTGAAATTTTAGTTCATGAGACCATAAGTAAGCAGGGTGATTGGATCACAGCAAAGTAAATGTAAAGCAAAGGGATGTATCGTGTAAAACATGACCAAACTATGCAGGTTAAAGGTTTAGCATTGATCATAAGAAGAACAAATAATCAGATTTTTTATTTAAATTCAAGTGGAAGCTAAGGTTTGTTTGTAATCTAGTGTCACTAGTATCACTCCTACTTGCTTGTCCACTATTTCTGCTGCATTGATTGTTAAAACGACTCTTATTTAGATGATCTCTGCTAAACACCTCTGGGTTTCAGTAAGAATGTTTCCATAAGCCTATTTGAATCACACGCTTCTTGTGAAACTCACAAGTTGTAAACTTAAACCAGTAAAAATGTGGAACATTGTCTCAGTGTGTGCTATGTAGAACAAAGCATGCAATACTGTGATCCAAGCAGACTTAACCATCCTGCCTATATGCAAGTAAACCCAAAACCTCAAAACAAAACCTGTGTAATTGTGACCTCTAGTGGCTCTACATCATAGCATAGGCTGCTTTGAACACTTGAAATGTGCATCAGTACGCTTTGCTACACTTAAAATTCCAAATAGTTTAGAAAAGTATTTGCAATCTAAATTCTAAATTTCCAAACATCTCCAAGCTTAATTTGACCAACCAGCTGCTCTTTGTAGGCACCTGTAGCATCATCATGCAGGTGTAACACAGTCCCTGAAAACTGAAACTGCAGAGTTTTAAATCTTCAATTTCCTCAAAGTCTGGTTGTGGTGGGATAAATTCATCCATGAGAAATCAGTATATTAAAACTTTCAGCAAAGAGGTCGTCAACACACATGTTGAATTCTACAATTCGTCTGGATGGTATTTTCCTCTCAGCTTCATATTAAATTATAAAAAGTCACTGAACAAAGGACATTAATTATTTTCCTCTGTCTGGCTAAGTCTTACTGTTCAGCAGCATAATTCAGTTAAAATCTGTAAAACGAAGTACTACTTCCAGGTAATAAATGAAATAAAACAAAAAAAGAAGAACATTTACTACAACTGCGATTAATATCATTCGGTCACAGACACACACACTGACTGAAGTCACCTTTCACAAGGCTTAATTTGCGCCGTCAGTTATGGGAATTCATTTCAAACAATGTCTAAAATTCAGTCAGAGTGAATAAACATTACACTTCTTCCTCTTTCAGTCGCTCCCTTAGTGGACACCACAGTAGATCACCATCCTCAGTCTCACCCCGTCCCTACTATCCTCCTCTGTCACACCAACCCTCTGCATGTCCTTTGTGTGTGACATATATACTTACTAACTTCGTAAGTCTCACTTAAAACCTTGAACAAACAAATTTTCTTTCAGTGCAATTTTCCAGAATCAAATAATGGAAACTTTGGTTGGTTTTAACCAACCAATACTCCTACTTGTGCTTTTATCCAGTTTTTTATCCAAAAATATTATTGTCTGTATCTTTGGTATTTGGTAAGATTGCATCCAAAGAAACAGAACATCTCTTGTTGAACTACATTTTGTGAAGGATATGATCTGAAAACTTAACAATATTATATTCTAAAACCTCCAAAACTGTAAACAAAAAACATCAATAGACCTTTTATTTAGAATTGCATTTACATCTACATTTTATTTTTCATATTTCACACATAATTACAGGTTATAATTCTACCAAGTTGGAAAAGCCATATTCCACCTGATGCTCTTTGTAGGCAACGTCTTCACACTGCAGCATCGGGAAATACTGCTCTGAGGAGATCTTTTAGTGAGTTTAAAATCCAAAAAGGCGTGAATGGACATCAGAGAGGAAAGAGGTTAAGAAAAACACTTTGAGTAGTAATAAATATCAGAAAAATGTAAACCAAGCAAAAGGAGAATTTACACAGCAGCAACTAAACTTCATAATGGCACAAAAACACAGGAGAGATCCAAAAATGGAAACTTCTGGCAAGTGTTCTCTGGTGTACAGTTAAATCTACAAAAGTAACTTGGAAGCACCTGTCATGGTGACAAATGTGCAAGTGTAAGGATTTATGTGAGTGTAGCAAGGCCCAAGTTGTAATGGAGTATGGAGAGAAAGTTGCCTCAGAAGGGTTACAAATGGGTACAGACAAATCTGCAAGCATGAACTAAGACTTATAAATGTGTGCAGTAATTTGTGTGTAACTTTTGAGGACTCACAAGCACACACTTCAACAAATGTGTACATCCAAATCTGAATAAATACTGATTATTTACACACAACTATTAAGTTCAGCTTCACGAATCGTGTCAGCTGTGTTTTGGCAGCAAAATAGGGACCAACACAGTATTAGGCAGGTGGTCGTAATGTTGTATCTGGTGTATGATTTAAATATAGAAACATAAAAACATAAAATACATCTCAGTTACAAACAATGTAAATAAGTGTTTTTGACAGTACAGTACAAGTGACCCAGAAACTCAATGGAAAAAGTCTTTGTCCTGGAATTATAAAAACAGCTTTCACCATATAAGCATATTTGATATTTGACTGCATTGTACAGAACAGTTTTTGCTATAATATGCAATTTTAAAACATTAGTTTACTTATATATAATTCATTGTAAAACAATTTTAACTCATCAGAAGAATTCTTTTGAAGTGACACAATCTCCCATTCACTTTAATCAGATTCATTTGATCTTTTCTAATAAATTTCTGCCCTTATTGACAGGCTACTGACTTTGATGTTCACTGCTCAAAAATATTAAAGGACAGCATCAAGCTATGAGTGGCAGTAGAAGAAGTCTATGACTAGAGACCCTGGACACTCATATTAAACCCCTTAAGATTGCTTAAAATGACTTCAACATCGAAAGGAACCAGTTGAGCTTCCTGGGTAAAGTGTTCTCACCGTGCATGTCCTACTGGGAGGAGGCCCTGGGGTAGATTATGGAGAGTCTTCACTATAGCAGAATACAACATTATACAAGAGGGGAAAACTTAGTGATGGATTACTGTTTCAACGGGGACGGAAAGTACAGTCAGAATAACCAACGTGTATTCTACTATTAAATTAGAGCTCAGCAATTATTAATGGAAAACCTGGATATTAGTAGGATACTTTTAAATGGTTTTTAAATGCCATGTACTGAAACTACAGCAACATAGTTTTATTATTACTGAAAGAAAAATGTTTAAAAAGCAGCGTTAGAAGTAGTTTCATTTTATTCCATTAAACACTCAACTTTTGTGAAACTTCATGGGTGCTGTAACATCTGTGTTCTCTTCATCAGTAGTCAAAACTCTACTAACAATATAAACATATTTCATGCTGTCACCTGGTGCCCATACATAGCTATAACATGTATACAACCAATCTCAGTATCTCATCGACAGACTACAAAATCATTTCACATGCTTCATTTTTAATTCCTTAAGATTTAGTATGAAAATCTGAGGATAGTCTTTACTTCAGTGCCCTGTTTTGAAAAGCAGAAGGGTATATCTCACACAGTTACATCAAAATTGTGGGAATGTGCAAGTGTGTGTATATACACTGCTCAAAAAATTAAACAAACACCTTTTAATCAAAGCACAACATCAAGTCAATTGATCTGGTCGGTTAAGTAGCAGAGGGGGTTGCCAGTTTCAGCTGCTTTCATGTTAATGAAATGACAACATGTGCACCACAGGGGTAACAATAACACAACCACAAAAAACAGGAATGGTTTACAGGCAGAGCTCACTGATGTTTTGCCCTCCTCATCTTTTCTGTTTTTTCATTACTTTTGCATTTGGCTAGGGTCAGTGTCAATACTGGTAGCATAGATACAAGGACCCTACAGAGGTTGGACGAGCAGTCCGAGTCCTCCAGGAACCTCGATACGTTGCATTGCAAAAAGGTTTCCAGCGTCTCAAGAGGATGGAGATTCCAGGAGAAAGGTGGTTAGTCCAGGGGAGCTGGACAAAGCCATGAAAGACATGACAGACATCCAAGGGTGTGGAGAATCTGTCGAGAACATTAATCTGCCTGTAGCACTGTTCAGCATGTTCAACTTGGTGGTGGGTCAGTGATGGTGTGGGGAGCCATATCCATGGAGGGACACACAGACCTCCTCCAAACACAGCTTAGACAACAGCTGAAATCCTTGTTCCAAATGTTGGAAGAGATCCCCCAGGACACCATCTGTCAACTCATTAGGAGCATGCCCCGATGTTTTCAGCCACTGAGACAAGCATTTGGGTAGTTTGGGGTCCATAGTTCCCATTGATATCTGATGTGCTTTCAAAGTTTAATTTTTTGAGCAATGTTTTAAAACAGATTTGCAAATTCCCTTTCCCATGATTTAATTTCATCCTAGCTAAAAAATTTTTAAATATGATCTGATCTCAGTTACTTTATAATGTCTTTCAGTTGTGGATACGTTGCATCAACTTTAGGATCTTTAAGAATCTGAAGAAACTGATCACAGGTTTCTTCACCTTTACTCATCAGAAGATCTATCAGGTTGGTAACAGTTTGTTCTGGGTTAGAGGAGTGCTTCAGATTTCCATATTGTCTGGGAGAGAGGATTCCTTTGGCATGCACACACTGCAGAATGAAGAGATCCCCCATCAGGCAGTTAATGAGTTCCACCTTGTGCTCCTTGATCTTTCTCACAGCAGGACCCTGAAAAAGATGACAGCGTATTGTTTATTAGTCTGAAGTAAATGTAGTTTTGATTTTTTTTCTTTTTCCACCGGCGCCATGTATTCCTCTCTTATCAATGCCAAAGTACATTATTAATTACATTTAAAGGAAAATATTTTTCCAGCAAAATACTGAAAGACTGAAAAGTCCATGTGAGGAGGCTTAATTCACAAAACTTTAATCCAGAAAAAACAAATTCACCTGTGTTATTAACTGTTTTCACCATTTTTATTACAGAAATGTTATTTATAAAATTTATCAAAAGCTCTATATATTCACTTGCTGAATACAGAAGGTGTTCCACCATGGTGTTGTGTTAAATCAAAAGTCAAAACAGTCCTCTCCCAGGAGGTTTTAGACCATGCTTCCACCTGCTGACAAGCTTTATGGAAATGATAATTTCTTTTTTCAGCAGGATGTGGCACCTGACCACAATGCCACAACTCCTATTAAATGACTTGCCAACCGTGATACTATTGTGCTCAATTGGCCAGCCAACTCACCACACCTGCACCTCATCTTTGGGATAACACCAAACGGAAGTTGAGAAACACCCAAATCAACAGAGAACTGCAAAGGTCACTACCAGGCTTTGGGAACACTCAGCTGAGCTAAATGTCACCTGCACTGAGCCACTTATTTTGAAGCAGCTCCAACCATGTACCGAGTGGATAAATGCACTCTTTTGTAACAAATCCTTTTTTGACTGACTTTAGACAATATTCTAATCATTTGAGATACTCTAATTTGGGATTCTTAATGAGCTTTGACCTAAAATTATCACAAAAAGCTTGAAATGTTTCGTGACTCAAGAGTTGGGAGTTCGTCTTGTAATCGGAAGGTTGCCGGTTCGAGCCCCGGCTTGGACAGTCTCGGTCATTGTGTCCTTGGGCAAGACACTTCACCCGTTGCCTACTGGTGGTGGTCAGAGGGCCCGGTGGCGCCAGTGTCCGGCAGCCTCGCCTCTGTCAGTGCGCCCCAGGGCAGCTGTGACTACAATGTAGCTGCCATCACCAGTGTGTGAATGTGTGTGTGGATGGGTGGATGACTGGACGTGCAAAGCGCTTTGGGGTCCTTAGGGACTAGTAAAGCGCTATACAAATACAGGCCATTTACCATTTACATGTTATATCTGTAGAATTTACCTTTTAGAATGAAATGACAAAAATGAACATTCAAATTTTTGTTATGTTTACAATGATACACTGAGGAGGGCAAATCAGTCTTCTCAGGAAGAATAAACCATGCCCTCTAACCATGCCAGTATCGTGGCACATTTAGGAGAAAGAGCTGCGTAAGGTAACAAATTCTAAAAACAAAAAATACACTTTGACCTCACAAGTGATTGTGTGCCAGATCATTGGCCAACTAAGAAAATATTACAATTGTTCATTTGAGGTAAGACCTACTATGTGCAATATTTACTAAAACTGGAGGATATCAGAAAAAATTCCCTGTTTGTGTAGGAAGCATAACTTTAACTTCAACTGACTTATCCTAAAACCATCAATACCATGTTGTGTCAGTGAACACCTCTATGTGTGTTCTTGCCAGTAACACTATTCTCGTACTGTACCTGAGGAGGTGGCTGTGTGTCCTCTACCATACCTGAGAAAAACCATCAGGAATTACTTACTTTCCAAAAGTCTTTTTTTAATCTTGCATAATTTGATTTATGAATTACAGACTAACAAAAAGCAACAACAATAATTACACATTTAAGCTCAAAATATTACCTGTGTTTTCTTGTGGTGCATTCACACTCACTGAGAAATTTATACACTCATCAACATGGACACCTGATATTTTATCAGCACATATAACACCGCCGCCACTTGCAGTGAGATCTGCTTGGGGTTTGTTTCCTATAAGAAGCAGAAAAAATAAGGAGAAAAAATTCATTTCCAGTTTGTTAAAATCTGTATAAAAAACTCAAACTGAAAACAAACTTGAAATTGGTTTGAAAATAGCTACTGACTCAACTGAAATACAGCAAAATACACTCACAGCCCACTTTATTAGGTATACCTTGCCAATTTTGGACTCTTTCAGAGCCTTCAGAACTACATCAACAAGGTGCTGCAAACACTCCTGAGAGATTGTGGTCCATACAGACATGACAGCATCACACGATTGCTGCAGATTTGCTGTCTGCACAGCCATGATGCAAATTTCCTGTTGCACAACATCCCAATCTCAATCTGATCGCATGCTGCAAGGCTAATGTGCTCCAGAGCAGGTTAGAGAGCAGCTATGGAATCACCACACTATTAATCATCACTGACCAATTAATTCCAGAGAACTGATTGGTCAGTGGTGATTTGTGGAAGGTCCCTTAAACCTGTATGTGTCTAAAGTTTCCAGTAGCATCTAATGTCCTTGTATTTTCCTGAAGATCAGTACAAATTTTTTGAGACAATATTATTGTTTGATTTTTCTTTATTTTTCTTCTGTTAGCTGCAAACAATTTATTAGTGTTTTAGTATAAAAGAACACCAATTTTTTCCTAGGTGCCCTTATAACCAATTTGCATGTAGACTAATTTTAAATTCTGTTTTTATGTTTACGTACTCTCAAACCTGTAAACACCACCACGTTGATAACTCTGGTTGGTCACCATTATTTGCACGCTTTTCCTGCTTTATTGATCAAAGTCTTGAAGTGCACATGCATTCAGTCAATGCTCTTGGTGCTAAACCACTGCACAGAGATTTTCCTCTCATGTTGCTGATCTGTCTAGAGCAGATGTGCTGCTTTTACTTTGCACTGTGTGTAACCGCCTCATATTTTTTCTAAAATTCTCTCTCTATATACATATTTGTAGTATAGAATATAGTTTATTCTTCCAGCTGTTTCGCTGCTTGTATAATAATGAACTACTACCAAACCAAATTAACTTCAAATTCACTCAAATCGTTTTTATTCCCCATGCTGATGCTTGGTTTGAGCTTCAGCAGCTTGTCTTGAGCATGTCTACTTGCCTTAATGCACTGAGATGCTGCCATTTGACTGGCTGAGTAGATGTTTGTGTTGACAAGCAGTTGAAAAGGTGTACCTAATATAAAGTGTTAATGAGTGCATTTAATGGTTTCCCTTATATGATTCCACATGGAACAAAATATATAAAAAAAAACCTCTTACCAGACAAACTGCTGTCTGCCGGCTGGCTTACTGTTTGAATGTTAATTGAAATGTTTTTTGCAGTTGTGTTTGTAAATTCTCTGCGGGACACAACACTGCTACCATCAGCAAACATGCTTGGAGTGGATGAACCTGGAACTATAAAAAATAGACATATATATGAATAATGTAATCTCAGCTTTCCTTTGGTGGTAATCTCACAGGCCGAGGCTCATTTTCGGCCCAGACCACACGGGACTTTCACACACCTTCAGCTTCAGTGACGAAAAACTGCTTCAGTTTTGGGAAGTGTCCTTGGTGCTTCCTCAGAGTGTCAATGAAGTTCTGACAGGGATTTTCTCCTTTTTGAATGATTATTTCCAAGAGTTCTCTCATCTGCTCTGAACCACTGCTTTGCTTTATTACCTTTTTATATTCATTCACGGATAGGATATCCCCGCAGTGCTCCAGGATGTACTCAGGGTCACTCGAAAGCCATACACGCAGTCTGTTGAGCTGTGCGTTTAGTTTGTCCATGGCCTGAAATAGTGCAGACATACTGAGTCGAATTCAACGTTTTTCTTGAGCATGACACAGACTTTACTATTGTTACTATTTCCGAACTTTGAACGGTTTTATCTCTGGCGTAAAAATGAAAACTATTCAAACGGAATCGAAAGTGTTTTACTGGGTTAGCGTAATAGCAAGGGTCACGTACTCTGCCCGATTAGGTACTAAATGAATAAACTCAAAACCTCACAAGTACACGTTGGTAAAGATTCTGTACCATGCTGAGAAGAAGCTTCTTCTGCTATAATGGCGCCTTTAAGGACCTCTCTTAAAATATGTGCCACATATGGAATAGATTATATGGTAATAGATTGCGTAATTTTCTGTGCGTAAAGGACCAAGCCGCTTACGCCCCTGTACATGCAAACTATTTACAGAGCCTTTACAGAGTAGTATGTATAGGCTAAAATAAAACCGATGTTTCTTAATGCATATGAAGTCGAAATAATATCACTGGTAGAATTACATGGACTACATTACATGGCAAATACACACTGCTTACCTTTGTTGACAGAAATTCAGCTATGACTTGACTCTAAAGCGAGCGATTAAAGTTTAGCAGGAAAAGGAAGGGCCACGGCTTCTTGCGTTTGTCGTTCTGTGAAATAAAAAAAGTTTAGTTACTTCCTGATTCTGTTGACGTAGCATGCAAACACATCGACAGGCATGCAAACTACAGTATAATACTGGTAACACATATATAGGCAGCTCACTTGCTTGTCCGGATGTGGGTCTGCGTGCATCATACATAGCGAGCTTTTGTAGCGTACTGGGCGTGTACTCACATGCTTAGGATCCCAGCTGGCCCATCTTTAGTTTCCCCCAATGTAAATAAGATGTGAGACACTGCAGTTTCAGTCTACTTTATGAAATCAAACTGAACAAAACTTAAAAACCTTGGGGGAAAAAACAGCCTGCGCCATCAGAATGGCCTTGTTGATGATGTGACCACATGCTGTTTTTGGAGTTTAAAAAAAATGTCATAAATGTGCTTAACTCGGGCTGAGCATACTCAGAACTGACTGAGCTGACTCTGATCAGCTGCTCAGAGTGAGGCTGGGTTTGTTAAGGTGCTTTCTGAAAGTCCAGTTTTATTCTAATTTTACAATTTGCAAAATAATCCAAGAATCAGATTGTGCTGTGTTTGGCTATTGATTGATTTATTGCGTAGTGTTAATTACTTTTTTTCGTTGTTTTGAGGTTTCTCTTCTTTTAAGGTGAAATTAGAATCAGCAGACTAAAAGCTCACCAAAGAGTGATCCGTACAGCAGAACGCTGCTGCAGGATTGCTCTCCCCCAGCTTCAGGACACCTACACCAGGAGATGCCGGACTAGAGCAGCGCAGATACTGAAGGACCCGTCCCATCCTGGCAACAAACTGTTCCAACTTCTGCAATCCGGCAGAAGGTTCCGCATCATCCGGGCAAGGACAGAGAGACTCAAGAGGAGCTTCTATCCCTAAGCCATCCGGGCCCTAAACACACACACCCGCCCTCTCACATCATCTATAATTGACTGAGACAGGACTCTCTTCCAGACACTCTAAACCCAGGCACAATGTACATTTCAAATTCCTTTATATTGTCTATTCTGTAAAATAGTCAGATGTCTATTCATATTAATGTACAGAATTCACCTGCTTGCTGCTACTACTGCACATTCACTCTATCTATCTATCTATCTATCTATCTATCATGTAGGTAATATTGAGGTGTTTTATAGTTGTAGATACTCACTGTTGTACCTCTCTCCTCTCCGTATAAGTTGGCACTTTGAACTAAAACAAACATCACAACATAAAACTTGTTGGACTAATTTTCAGAATAGTTCTTGTGTAAAATTGCATACCTCAGCCTTTTCTCCTCAAGAATGGCTCCTTCCACTGCCACCATTTCTGATGAGGTTTTAGTAAAAAGCAGATGGAACAACTGAAAGGGCAGATGCATCTCAGGACCTTATTTTTATCTTGATTCCTAGTTTAGCAGCCTAAAACATCATCTGAGAATGGTCAGATGTATGCGACTGGATTGAAAATGAGTGAAAACGCAGCCAATGTCCAAAAAAAGGGAAAAATAACACAAAAGTCTGGCTCCTTGGGACGTCAGCCAGGGATGGTTTCTAACAATTGGCTCAAAATTCTGAATGTATATGTTCTGAATTATATCTATAATTCAGTATTTTTAGAATAGAGTGAGTGATGAAAGGCAAAGGCAAAATGTTTTAACTGACAAACTTGTTTTTCTGTTTCTGTTTTAGCAGTTTAGCTGTTTTCCGGTCTGTAATTTTAAATAGAACATATTATGACCACCCTCACTTTAAACCTTTCCTTCGTGTGTTTCAGGGCTTTAGTGGCTTGAGCCAAAAGGCAATATCTGGGCTCTGTATTGGCCCTTTCTTCTTCCTTCCTGCTTCACATGGACCTGTTTGCCCTCACACCCTGTGTTCCACTTGTTTTTCTATTGCTATTTGCAATTCACTGTATTTACAACACACACATCTCCACACACATGCATACCCTAAAGGAGTGCTCACCTTTTGTCATGGCTCAAAGTTGCCAGGTTGTGACAGTACTAGCTATTATCGAGGTGTTAGCTAGCACTGTTGCTTCCCAGCAACAAGACTGAATCCAGCCTGGAGCCTGTCTGTGAGAGATCTGGCTTGTCTTTTTGGTACATGGGTTTCTCCCACAGTCCAAACACCTGCATGGGGTTTGGTCCACTGGTGATCCTGAACAGGCTGAGAATGTGAATGTTTGTCTGTCTCCGTGTTAGTGCTGAGACTGATTAGTGACCTGTCCCGGGTTTACCCCACCTTCCACCGTGACTTGAATAAGTAGAAAAAAATGGATGCATGTATTTTTCCCTGCATCAACACAGAAGTAAACATCTGTGGATTTACACGACTTCTCCCTCTGTTACATTTTCCCTCTGATAAACAAACAAAATCTTTTAAACATCGCCAGGTTCCGGTATTTTATATCACATTAGCAATTTACAGGAAAACAGAAATATGTAACACAAAATAAATGAATATACAGCATCTTACTATAATATTATACATTAGTCTTTGAGTGCATACACATGTTAGAAGCTGTTAAAAGCACATTGTTACATCCACAGCGAACGATCACCAAGTCCATACGCTCTGTTGTGAAATGTGGACTCTTCTAGATGTATAGTAGCTGAAATGCAGACATTATGAGGTCTTATGGCAGAAATGCACTGAATCTCATGAATAACATACATAATTCCCCTGTGATACAAAGGTGATGCTGTTCATTAACAAACTTGGAGCGATATGGGTAATAAGGCTGTTAGAGATGAGTTACTGTGCAGACGTATGTTTACTGCTTGATGCGCTTTTGACAAAAGTAGCGTTTCGCTCCAGCGTTACCGCCCTCCTGCCAGACGTCTGGTTCAGTTCACTCATGTCCACCCCAGAGTCTAAACTGGTCTCTCGACTCTCGACTGGTCTCCGTCTCCTCTGTTGCTCTGACACAGCGTAATGGATCTCAGCTGCAGGCTTGCCCTCCAGTGAGACGAACCAGGCCCGAGGAGGCTGAAGTGAGGAGATATTGGATTGTCCGTGCACCGAGTGCCTGCTGTCCAAGATTTTATGTAACGTCCCGGGCACTGACACTGACTCTGGGAGCCTGGATGTGTTGGTGGAGGTTGCTGTCTGGGAGCCACCTGAAGCTCCAAGCTTGTCTTCAGTTTCTGCTGCCTGGTCCTGGGTCTCAGATGGACCTTTTGTCTGTGTCTGGGTGAAGTTTTCTTTGCTCAAAGGCTCTGTGGCAGCACCATTTGAAGCCCCTGCACGGGGCAGGGTGGCTGACTTGCTCCACTGGGCCTGCTCTGGTTGCTCCTCTAAATGGAAGAAAGCTGGAGTGTGAAGAATTGCAACAGGCTGGTTGTAGAAAAACAAATTATCTGTCAGAGATACAGAAGCTCTTTGTTCTGAAGCCTCGTGTGAACACGTCAAATCGTTCAGGTCCGTGTTCAGATCATTCTCCAGCATAATGGCCACAGCACTGGCGTTGGCTATGAAAGAAGCATTGTGTCTACTGTCCCTCTTTTCTTCAGGTTGCTGGTCCTGTGAATGAGAAGCTTTCCCTGAAGATACTTCAAAGAGATCATCATCACATGTCGAAGTATTTTGGTCTTTTGTCGTCACTGGTAGGATCTTTGCTGCTTTAGTTTCACCAGAGGAACACCTGCAGGTAAACCAGGGCATTAGTAAATGATTATTTGGGTAAATTTAAGATTACTTTTTGATTCTTTAAAGGAATACGCCACAGAAAACTATCAACAGCTCGTCCCTGATAGTCCTATTGAGCCCAGCAAGTGTGTAAAGGGCAAAGGTTTATGATACACGTGTCATTACCTGTATTATGCAGAACTGGGTGATGCTACATGACCACAGTATGAATATTTGATGGAGGATTTTCAGTGAAATAAACTGAAACTTAAAAGTATATTGTGACTTTTAAGTGATAGCCCATTTAGAACACGATCATACTGAAAGTTAGAGATGGGACAGCACTTTTGAATTAGTGAACCTTCGTGTGAAGGTTTTTGTTCTGGTCACTATGATCAGGTAATTGCAATGTGCATGACATGACAGCAGAGTTGCTGTAAGTAAACTATTTTTCATATCTTTATGATTCAGGGAGTTTGTCTAAGTCTAAGAATATTTTAACCTTCCAGCCATTTTCACTCCTTTGTCATAACATTGTTATTATTAACAAAAGTAAAGCAGTTCAGTGGGCCAAACTGGGATACTTTGTCAGAACTCCAGGCCTCAAGGGTTGATGTGCTGCAGGTTTTAGATGTGTCCATGATCCAACACAGCTAATTCAAATGGCTAAATTACCTCCTTAACATGTCTTTCAGTTCTCCAGAGGCCTGGTAATGAACTAGTCATTTGATTCAGGTGTGTTGACCCAGGGTGAGATCGAAAACTTGCAGGAAACCAGCCCTTGTGGCCTGGAGTTGCCCAACCCTGTCTTAGATCTCCCTATTGTGAAAATAAAGGACTGAAGGATTCTACTACATTGCAAAATCCCATCGAAGAGCACAAAGCGCTGACCCAGAGCAACTCTGATCCACAGAGTTCCCACATGAAAACCTGCAGGACCCAAATGACCCACTGCAAACATCCTGATACTAGGCATTAAAGGACTTGGCCACAGGTTTCAGGTCCACATCTCAGTAGGTCAGAGCTGATGTGGTGGCGCAGGTGGCTCCTACACAGTATATGGCAGGTGGCTCTAATGTTGTAGTTGGATCTGTAGTTTAGTATAAAAGTATTTTTTCTCTTTTCTTTTTACCTGCAATAACATAACCCAACCAGAAGAGAGATGATAATAACGAGTGTCCCTCCAAAAAGAACCATCAGGAAAAAGGAATGCCGTATGATGAAGTCAATGGGAATGGCAAGTTCAAAGAAACCTGAAGAAGATCAGAAGGAGGACTTTTAGAGAGTCCAGAATAGAAAACATAAAATATGATAAAATATGTAATAATATGTAATATTAGTCGCTGCCTTCCAAGGTTGTGAATAATGAAATTAATCCAATGATAAAATCCAATTTTAATAATT